AAATAAATTCTGATTTATTAAAGAAAATGAAATATATATTAATGTTAAAATTGCATTTAATTAAATATGGTATGGAAGGACTTCACATCGTTTTTATGCACTTTAACATGGAAGAACCTTATAAATCATGAGGTCAGCCTTAAATTTTTACTAATTGCCAGTAAAGTTTGGTCTGCCCATCAATCCCATGAAGGCTACATCAAAGTTGCACACTGCGCTTTTATGCAGATAAATTGTCGGTTATTTCCAACCCACGGCCCACACCTCTGCTGCCATCGTCCCACTCGTTGGCGTTCTGTTTCGTTTGGTTGGCTTTGCAGACGCCGCGTCAGGCCGAAGGAAGGAAGAACGAAGGATGGATCCCAACGGACCTAAGCGGAGTGTCGGCTGCTCGCCTGATTGTTTCAGTAAAGTTTTGCTGGAACCGCCCAACTAACTATTATTGTTGTTGCTGTTGTTGTGATTTTGCAAATTAATTTGCTTATAATTTTTACGCTTAGTTAAACACAATTTTGAGTGATTTTCACACAGAAAATGCTCGATGCTAAAAAGTTTTGCCTTGCCCGAAGGCAAAAGGCAGAAGGCAGCGCACAGTGGGACCGAATATTTACAAAAATGTACAAAATTAATTCAGATTAAACATCTAATATACGAATTATTGAAACTCAAAAGAACTGATTATTCGATTACGCCAATACAACTTGCTTAAATTCTAAACCCATCATAATTGGAATTGAAGCACAAGTTGGAGAGATTTAAATTTCAATTTATTTATTGTGCATAAAACCCTATTTTCAAACCTAAATTCTATTGTTAAATAAATTTTTAAACTCAAAACCTTTAAAGCGAACAACAAGCAACAGACACAGCCGCATTTAAATTATTTTATTCCGATTCCCAATGGCGGTTCCATTGGCTTCGTTAGCTCCAACTGGCGATGCAAACAGCGGAAAGTAAAAAAAAAAATATATGTGTGTGTGCATTTAAATGTTATTTGCATCATTCTGACGTTTGTTGGCGGCGCGCGCCCCGTCCAGCATTTTTGAAGCCTATCGGCGTTTTTCATATTTTTATAAATTGCTATAAATTGAGATATTAATACGATAGCCGACAGAAGTCACAGCCGATGGGACCAGTTTGTTGTTGTTGTTGTTGTTGTTGGCCGGTTCGCTGATTTCAACATGTGGCAAAAAGTGTCGAGACATTAAAAAATATTGCACAAGTGTTGCGCAAACATAATGTGCAGCTATTTGTATAAAATGCGACAAGCGACAACTTTTTCGGGACAACATTTGGCCAGAGCCCTCCCTGCTCTGATAATGAAGTTGTTGCTAATGACCGTTTCGTGGCCATAACAGAGGGAGGGGCTAGTATCAGACTTAAAGCTCAAATTTAAACACTGGCGCTGCAGCACCAAAGTGGTAAATGTCCTTTTGCAGAACGTCATCCAGCTTAAATATTCCATGCACACGCAACACACACATTTCGTCAGTTGCTTCAATTGGACTGATTTAATTGAATCAGTGTGCTCCTCTGCCGAGTCCACATGCTCTGCTATGCTACTCTTCTATGCCCTACCTACCATGTCTACCATTTTTGTCTTCGGTCTTTCAATTTACTACGCAAGCTACTGCTGATGTTGTTGTTGTTGCTGTTGTTATTGTTGTTGTTGCTGTTGCTGTTGCTGCAGAGTGTCTGTAGTTTCGGGTCTACGTTATTCGCACACGTTTGCGTGCTATGCATGGCATAAAAATTTGACACAAAAGCCGTTGCATACAATTGGGCGCGCACACATACACACACCGTTTAATACATATGTGCATGTGTGTGTACAGCAGCAGCCGCGGCCCATGGCATTTGTTTGAGTATGGCCAGACGAGACATAGGGCTACCCAACAGGCGACGTGTTGAGGTCGTTGTCATACACTGATTTTGTATGCAGCCGAAACAACCATTTTAATACATGCTTTTTATACCTAGTACCCATTGAAAATGGCTAAAAAAAAGAGAGTAAGCTGCACTTGTGCTCATGTATGTAACAGAAGGCCAAAAGATTCTCTGAGTCTATTAGGTATAAATAGCTCAATCTAAGAAGTTCAATTTTTTTGTGAGTCTGCATCAAATGCATTCAGACATAATAATATAGTGTCAACTTTGGTAAACTGTGTCCCAATTATAGTGCGCACAAGTCTTGACTTTTTTCGACAACCCATCCCAGAAAATAAATACAGAAATTGTTTGTGAAAAATGTGGCAGCGCTGTGAAAAATTTTACATTTTGCGGCATATGTTTGTTTGTACTTATGTTTAACTAATTGATTGATTGTGTTATGTACAGGGTATCTGGTAGGTTTTGCAGCTCTTAAAGTAATTTCTGCTATTGAGACAGAAAGCACATTGAAGTAGAGGCTATTAATTCAGTTAAATATCGATAATAATAACAGAACAGTACAGAATAATCAGTGGTTTTTAATTTAGTTTATTAAATTGAAAAAATTCTTATTCTTTTTTCCGGCTATCAATTAATATAAATTATTATCATATTTATCTCAAACAAGCCAACAGAATAAATAAATTCCCCCCGCCGTACGTTTGCTAGTTTAAGCGATTTCTGTATTATCGGTTTACATGTAAGAATCCCAGGCAACAGCTTACGCACCCATCTTATTTATTTGGCTACTTGTAATATTTAATAGGAATGCCTCAATTGGTTTGGAAGACACACACTCACACGCACACACAGCCATGCACATAACAATACTTATGCTCCTAAATTCAGGCAATCACAATTTATATTTTGGTTGGCACCCAAACTCAAACTACACTCTCCGTAGCCCCCTCACCTGATTTTACCCTACACGTGCGTTGCCCTCTCGACACGAACTACATAAATAAGCGAACAACAAAAGATGCTCCTGAGGCCTTCCTCACATTCGTATGGGTCGACGGTGGGTGGAGGCGCAGAAACTTTTCCAATTTTCCCCTTTTTATCGTAAATTACGCACAATTCAATATTTGGCCTTTTTACTGGCGCTTGTTTTGTGTCCCCGTTGCCTGCCCTTTTTTCTGCTTGACTAGCTCCCAAGTGTGTAGCTGGGGCAGCAGCAGTTAGTGCTCTGGGAGTGGGGCATTTGTCTGCAATTTCTTTTCTTGTTTTTGCTATTTAGCTATTTTTTGTGTGTCTCTTTACCGTAAATAAGAAATCTCATACGTGCGTATTCAGCCTAGACCTGCCATATATATTAGCTTCGCCACCCAAAGTCCCCCCTTTTGTCCATTTACTTTATGAATGAGTAAGTAAAAGTTAGTTTTACTTTTGTTTCTGCGCTGAAGCAGTACGGATCTCTTATTGAAATTGCGATGTGCGCCAACTGTAATGATTGTTTTTCTATGTGTCTTAATTTATTTAACATTATTCAGATTGGAATACGAACTGGGCCAAGTTTCCTAAAACTTATTGCCATTAGCTAGTTTGGGCAACTCTATTTTAATTGTTGTAAGTAAATAATAATGTCCAAGCTATAGAATGTAGCGAGGTATTGGGTTCTCAACAGCTTAGGAAATAGTTCTAACTCAACTAGATTTTTGTTTGCAGAAAAAAATATGGTATACAATTGTATACTCGTCATTTGATATTTCTATATATATTTTTTGTAATTTTCTAGCTTCAAACTGTGTCAATTTTTTAATATTATACTGCGTTTCTATATAAGTTTCATGTCGTATTATCAATAGATCGAATGATTCATTTAGTTGAAGTTGAAGTTGTTCCAACTTAATATACCTAATATATTCCGTTTGGAATACATTCTTCTCCCACATTGAAACTTTTTATAGAGCCACATGCGTTTTCCGTTCGCTGCCCCTTTCTACCCCTCTCCTTTTCTCTCTCATATTACTATTAAGCCAATCAACAGTAATGCAGCTCTGCTTCACATGGCGTATACGTGTTAATTTGAATTTAAGCTTTAATTGGAAGGACAGGCTCCATGGATATTTTGCGAAACAAAAAACCATCTTCAATGCAGCAGCTGCAGCTGGCTAGGCCATTAAAGCGCATCGCTGTTGGTGTTGGCCTGCTGCGTTAGGCGCGGCCACAGTCACCACGCCCTTACGCTGACGCCCATAAAAACATTTATGTAATTGCTGTTATCGACAAGCGCCCAAATGGCCTCGTTGTGCCGGCTGTAAACGGGCCTTTAATACACTTTTGATTGGATTGTCGCACAAGTTAATTGAACGCCGCGGCACAGCATGGCTGCAACGAAAGCCACGGCCTAAGCCACTGTGCCGCCATTTTGGTTCCGAGTGGCGGCAATTATATACGAAACTAGTTGGCAAGACCGTCCCGCTCCCTTCAATCATATGCCAGGGCAACTCAATGGAGCGCAGCAACAAATCGCAGACTCATGCAAGCTCATTAGGCAAAAGGTCATATGAATAAACATCCCCCAAAAGATTCTTTTCAGCTATTGTTGTTACCCATTACTGTATTACGGGATATATTCAGGATCGGATACTCCAATCGACAGTTAATACACTAGACTGCAAGTCGTCTATCGTCTTTCTGGCCAAGTTTTCGTTTAATGCTTCGGCGCATTTTATCTTTTGTTGCTGTCGTTGGTTAATGCGCTAGCAAATTGTTTGAGAATGACCCGCGTAAATTTCATTTCTAGTTGATTTACTGTAAATTGTATTGCAGGGACAACAGAAAACGAAAGATAAACTGGGCATACCATAAAAATAGCTACCAACTGTAGTAGACTTTTATAAATTGATTGGGTCATGGGTTGATGGGGCTCCCAAAATGGCGAACTAATTTGTTGATTTCGTTTGCATTTGATTTTTGCTTAGATGTTATTTGGCAGTTTATTTGTATGATTTGTGGGTGACCCGACGGTTTTCTGATTGACTCCAAATAGGCAATTTTTTAAATGTCATACTCAGAAAGGTAGATGATTTAGTAAGCCATATTCATAAAAATGCTTTCTTTCTACTTACCCTTCTGATAACTCATCATTTCAAATTAGTGATATGCGCATAAAGATAAATTGAAGTTTGCTTAAAGCAGTTCAATGTTCAATAAGATCTGAAATGAGAAAATTTAATGATAATTCTAAAAATGAATCATAATATCAGGTTTCTTAAACAAAATACAATAAGCTTATGCCAATGGGAGCTATTTATTTATTTTGTGTTAGGACACCTATATTCTTGTCGAACCAAACAAGTGCCCGACTAGGAAATACTCTATGGCACGCGTCCGATCTCTATAGACTATCGATTCTATGGGAATCTAAAGAATATATATATACTTTCTGCGTTCAGAGAAGACGCCTTCCGCCTGAAACATTCGTTTGCACAAAAAGTAGACACAATGAGTCCAAAGTATAAACTTAATAAAATTACTTACGTAATTTGTTAAAAGTTTATTGCATAAAAAAACAGCCAAGACTATACGTCATCGTCATCACATTTCTCTTGTTTATTTTCGCTCTTCAATGTCTGCTACAGTGCCACAATTTTTACTTTTTCTAGCAACTTCAGCGAAAAAAAACCGTTTGCATTCGTTTGTTTTACTTTCAGTAAGAAGAAAATGTTTATGTGTACTTAAAACTGAGCCCGCATCAAGTTCAATCTGAAGCTGAAGTTGAAACTGAAGTAAGCGAATGGCGAAGGTGCGTCGTGTAAATATGCTCAAGTCTTACCGGTGTTAGTTTTGTAAATTGCAGATTGCAACATTTTCATTAAATTGAGTCAAACAACAAACAGCAGCCACGGCGTCGAATGAACTGGGTAAACAATCAAGCCGCTTTCAAAAGTGCTCTTGTTTAAGTATAATTGACTAAGCAGCTGACTTTAACGAATTGTCAGATTTTAAAAGTAAATTTAGACAGCTTATTGTCAGCTATATGCATAAAACTGTTTGTCTTAAGTGACTGTCCGATTAGCCCTTCGTGTTGGTAGAAAACATTTGCAAGAAGCTTTTATTATATCGGTCTCAGACTTTTTTTTGAAAGCTTTTTATATACAATATTAATTATATACAGTAGGTGCTCCACTCTTTTCCCAAAATGCACCCCATTGGGTGAAAAAGGAATAAAGCTGAGTTTTTGCTGATCAACTTCAAAGTTATGTTTGAAGCTCCACATAAAAATTATTCGATACGTTCTTTATTTTGTAGAACACAACTTGAAACTTGGAAGCAAGCACAGAATCAAACATGGATCATCAATTGGGTGGAATGAGGTTTTATGGTTGTATGGGATAAAGCTAAATTAAATGCTGTTCAACTTAGTAAGAATCCTCTTGAGAGATATATAGATAGAATACACCCCCCGGAATGTGCGTTGATCGCCAATCAGACAGGCAAACAGTAAATCAGTCAGGACAACGAGGGCAAACCCTCGCCTGGCTACTTTCATAACAAACCTTTCAGAAAAATGTTGTAGGTGTGATTTTGAGATTTCAAGCTGGGCAACAAAACGTAAACTCAGCTATAAAACAGTTGAAACCAAATGACAGTAAATAGTGTTAATGATTCAGCAGCAAGGACGCCTACACAACCTGTGAACACACATCCAGACGCACACACGAATGCCAAAATAGTTTTAGCCTCATTTCCACGCAGAGCCTGGCAGATTTTTAGGGGGACCAAAGCTGAAGAGTTTATAAAATTAACGTCGTCGTGACATTCAAGCAGCCATCGTTGCCGTTGCCTCGTCTGGCTCATCAAACTAACCGCCTTCCTCTCGTCCCTACACACTTGTCACGCTCCAAAACATCCTTTGAGCTGTCGCTGTGCATTTGTATGCGTTTTGCTTGCCTGATTTATGTGTGACGATGTGTGTGTGTGTGTGCGAGTGTGTGTGTGTAAGTGTGTGTGTGTGTGTGTGTGCGAGTGTGTGTGTTTACGTCTCTGTCGTGTTGGCATTTGTCGTTACAAACTTAATTAATGTTATGCTGCTGCCACCGCCACCGCCACCGCCTCTGACGGCACTCGCCAGTGCCAGGGCTGCCCTTGTCCTCCAGGCTCTTGACTTTTGTCAAGCGCCGCAAAAACTGCAGCCGGTTGACACTGCGCCACTGTCAGTTTCAGCTGACGTTTGGTGTTTGTGTTCCATACTGCGTCCCCGACTTCGTACACCAGCTCGTTCCCGTTCCCGTTCCCATTTCGGGCTGGCGTTTTGCATGTGATTAGGCGGCGTCTGTGCTAGAGTTTCCCTGGATGCTGAAGTTGAGTCCGCTCTTGGCCATTGTGTGTAAGTGTGTGTGACACTGTCTGTGGTGTGCGTGTGTGTGTATGTCACAAATATGGTGCTCAGCTTTCGAAAATTTTGTGTTTCTGTTGACGTTTGGCAAAATCGCATTGACAGCATTATCCATATTGGCATAATCACCGCTTGGCTATGGCTCTGTTTGTTTTGGGGTTTTGGTTGCTTATTTGCTTAGCCTGTGGCTGCTTTGGCAGCTAGTTGAGCTTGACGATTAGCGATAGCTGCCGCAAGCTGGGGTTCGAAAAGTTCACGCTTTCTTGGGATCAATTTAAAGCCAGTTGAGAGATGTAATCGTAAGCGAAACCATATTAAATTGTCTGCAAGCCCAGGACTGTTTAAATTTGCACAAAAAACACTTGCTGCATTTTTCTATTCATCTGGTGCGTCGCATTTCACTGGGCTTAGCCGAGCCGAGAGCCTCCGCATTTGTGGTATAGTTGGTGGCGGGCAAAGGGATCCAAACAAATGCCGACTTTACTTTGTGCAGCAGCGCGTGAATCGGTGTGGGAGGTAGAAGTGCAACGTCTGGGCAGAAGGCCCACACAGAAAAATACGAGCAGCCGGAACACTTTATTTGTTTATAGCGAAAATGGCGGCACAAAAAGTGCAACACAGCTGCCGGCTAAAAGGCAGCAAATGCAGCCAAAGAGCAAACCTCCTGGCCCGGAGTCTTGTGTGTTGTTGTAGCTCTCATTGTCAATACTCCTGTGGGGCGTGCAAAGTTTGTCATGGCATCCAATGCAGCTTATGTGGAATGATTTGTAAAGGTGTGCGTGTGCGTATGTTTGTGTGCTTAAGTATATATAAGTTTTGTCTATTGTCTGTCTGTCATGTGTTGCACGAGCAGTCGTAATCAGTTTGCCTTGCCGTAAATTGTGTAAAAAGTGAAAAGAGTTTGTTGCGCTTTATTCTGCCTACAAGTTAAATGGCATGTGATAATGGTGAGAATCTTTTGAATATACCATACTTTAGCGGGAGTTTCAAAAGAAATTTAATGATATTTTGTTTAAACTTATTATAATCGAAGACACTGTGGTCTCTTGCTTTCAATTCGACGCATGCAGGCAGACGGACAGACATGGATATAATAATCATCCTAGCTCTCGCCCAATAAATCGAGTACTCGTAGACAGTACATTCAATTGTCATGAAATGTGCAGTTAAATCGATACTTGCGTAATATGGCTTTTATTGGAATAATTTATCGAAAATAAGGCGCACTGAATTTTGGCATACACAAGTTAGGCATTTTCTTTTGTTTTTTTAACTCTCAAATGAATTCACAAATATTTTTACGAATATGTACTCTCAACGATAACATCTGACTTTCCTAATATATTATGTTCAATCCGAATATCTATCAATCGATAGTTTCTATAACTATGAAGTGTACTTGAGTCATAGCGAGAGCCTTTTATTTGTTACACTTCAAATTGTTTACGTTTTAATGTTGTCTATCCTTGCCATATGCGCACATACAAGAGGTCCTTCTAGTTTCTTCCTCTCCTTCCGCTCCACCTTTGGACAATTGCCCACTCTTGCAGAATTTGAGCAAGGCTACCAGCAGAGCGGCCACATCGGCAACATAATTTAAATGCCAACTTTAAAATGTTTACCGAACGCTTCATCCTAGTTGTAACGTAAATTTACGGGCCAGCAGCTAAACAAACACGGAAACACACTTTCACGTACACACACACACACACACACACACACACACACACACACACACACACACACACACACACACACACTCACACACACTAGCCGGCATGCAATTGTGTGTGTGTGCGCGCGCCTGCCTGTGGTTCGTCTGTGCTTTCTATTTGCGCTTAATCCATGGACATCAGCGCTAAAAAGCATGCTACAATTTTTTCTATGCATCTCCAGGCGCGAAGAGATATGCACCGAAAAATAAAAAAAATTCTGTTCGGGCGACTTGCTCATTACTGTGGCAATTTTTTCTATGTTCGCGTCAGTTCGGACCGCCTCATTATGTTGGATTTTAATTAAAATTAATTACATTAAGTGCATCAAGCAAACAGCAAGCAACACACACCAGACCAGACCAGACCAGAGCCGAGCAGAATCAGCAATCGGCAGGCGAGCAAAAGAAGGAATCATTCTAAACACAAAGCGCCCACAAAGCAGCGTTCATATATATAACAGAGTTCTGCCTGCAGCCTGGCCGCTTGTGAGGTTAAATGCGCTTTAAGTATAACTCTTTTTGAGGCAGAATTACTGCAAAAATATAAACATATATTCAAGAAGCATTTGATTCCCTCAGCAGCTTTAATTAACCGAAAAAAAGCGCTTAAAGTGTTGACCGATATGTGTCTTTGGCAGTGCATATATGTACAAATTATCTAAAACTTAGCTTTGCCGATGTGAATGCCCTGGCTGGTATATGGTATGTGGTTTGATATATAATGATATAGTAATAGTTATGTATGTTCATAAAAAGATAAATAAATAAATAAGTTAATTTGTTGTCAATAATGAACTAATAATTTAAATATTGAGTTAATTCTTAACAAGTCTCTCAGTTTTCAGAAAACTCTATGACCCCTTAACTTTGTAGTATTATTTTTATTATTATTTTTCAGTTAATATTTGACAGTCGTTTCAAATATTTTCCCATTATTCCATTATTTAATTTGCTGTTAACATTTTCCCCGAAGTTTATTTCCCCTAACTTTAAGCTCATTGTGGGCTGCAACACTTGCTTTCGCCTCAAATAGATGACCAAAACTTTTAAACTGAAACTCGATGACAACAAAATATAAAATACTGCAAATTGTTGAAGTGTTCG